CCAGTGTCAGGAATGGACTCGCAAATGGTGGTGGGACTCACCTGCCTTGTGGGCTGCAGTACCAGGGCTGGCCAGCGGGTGCTCTCAGCAACCAGAAGCTCACTCCTGCAATCAGCCATCACCTGAGGCTGATTGCAGGAGGTGTATTTAAGGAATGGCCAGCCCTGCAGTCAGTGCCTTGGTGTATGTTTCCCATGAGCCCCTGTACCTGCATCCTGCCTGATTCCTGATTCTGCTTTGACCCTGACTCTGAGTGAACTCCGCCTGTCCTGACCTCTGCTATTCCTGACCACTCTCCAGCCTGCTCCTTTGGTACCTTGTCTGCCTGATTGTTCCTGACCCGGCCCGTCTGACTACGCTCTGCCTACTCCTTTGTGTCTTGTCTGTCCGATGGTTCCTGACCCGCCCCGCCTGACCACTCCACCTCACCAGCCCTGACTGCTCTTGTCTGTGTACATTCCGTTATCAGTTGGAGGTTTGGTTTTGTTGTGCGTTTATATTTGTGTATAACCTTTAATAAATTATATATTTACACCATACTTGAGCCTGCGTTTCCCTGTGTCAGTTCACGCATCTCTGGTCTTACCCGGAGCCCTGACATTACACCAAGGAATTTCCTGACCAGAAGTGGCTGCACAGGGAAGCCATCTTGGCTTGTTGTTGGGAAGGATGCATCCTGAGGAGGTTATATACTTGTATTTGCTAGTCTTAGATGACAGAGAATATGCCTATCAGACTCTGCAGGAGTATACCAGGGATCAGCTGCTAGAATGCATACGAGTCGCTCATTCCCTAGTAGATCAGGGCAATGAGTTCTCTGAGGTGCAACCATTGATTCAGGCTTGTGTTGAGTTGGCTTCATCTAGTACCCCTGAAAGCAGGGATAACTTTCTTCCACCATTCAGTGTGGATCAAATAGAATCACTGGTATGGTTGTTGGGGGATGATCCGGATTGCTTCTGGGAACATTATTCAGCATGTTCACCACATGTGCTAGTAGAGTGTATAAACGCAGTGCAGTCTTTGGTCAGACAGGCTATGTGTAAACTGAGTTTTGTTCAACCAATACTACAGTCCTGGTCAGACTTGTTACACCCAGCCTCAGGCAGCTTGCAACAAACCCATCTTGCTTCTAATTATTCCTCTGCTCAAAGCTCTATTCCTGCATTACCGACAGCACCCCCAGTGACAGCCCAATATACCCTGCTATCTACCACATGTCAGTACCCTGTTCCCACTCGCTGCACCTATCTTGCCTTTAACCCTGTAAAAAAGGCTGCTGTAACAACTATTCCCTCCTCTGTTCCACCCTCCAGCTCTTCTCTGTCTCCAGCTACTCCATCCATTTACAGACCTGCATTTACTTGCAGTGCCCCAGTAACTAAACCCAAGAAGAAGCAAAAATTCTTTCCAACCAGTAGCATCCTACCAGTATCCAAACCGGTCAGCCTGCCGTCTGAGAACCCGCCTTCCATTGTTCAGCCTGATGGCCTGATGCCTGATGCCCCAGTGTACGCTACCCAGCCTGATGACCCGATCTGGCCTGATGATCCTACACAGCCTGATGATCCTATCCAGCGTGATGGCCTGGTGCCCTCTACCCAGCCTGATGGCCCGATCCAGCCTGATGACCCGGTGTTCATGATCCGCCTGAAGACCCAATCCGGCCTGATGACCCGATCCAGCCTGATGACCTGGTGTTCGTGATCCGGCCTGATGACCCGATCCGGCCTGATGGCCCGATCCGGCCTGATGACCCGGTGTTCGTGATCCAGCCTGATGACCCGAGCCGGTCTGATGACCCGGTGTTCGTGATCCAGCCTGATGACCCGGTGTTCGTGATCCAGCCTGATGACCCGATCCAGCCTGATGATCCGATCAGGCCTGATGACCCGGTCCAGCCTGTTGCCTCGGTGCCCGAGGTCCGGCCTGGTGCCTCGGTGCCTGTGGTCCGGCCTGGTGCCTCGGTGCCCGCTGTTCTGTCAGATGACTCGGTGCCCGCTATCGTGCCAGATGACTCGGTGCCCGCTGTCGAGCTTGGTGACTCGGTGCCCGCTGTTCTACCAGGTGACTCTGTGCCCGCTGTCGTGCCAGGTGACTGTGCCCGCTGTCTCGCCTGGTGGCCCGGTGCCCGCTGCCCAGCCTGATGTGCCTCCGCCCGCTGCCCAGCCTGATGTGCCTCCACCGCTGCCCAGCCTGATGTGCCTCCGCCCGCTGCCCAGCCTGATGTGCCAGCCCCTGATATCCAGCCAGTTACCTGACCCAGGCGGTGGAACATTTTGCCCACTAAGGACTGTTTGGAGCGTCCTGAGGCCGCTCCTTGGGGGGGGGTACTGTCAGGAATGGACTTGCCAATGGTGGTGGGACTCACCTGCCTTGTGGGCTGCAGTACCAGGGTTGACCAGTGGGTGCTCTCAGCAACCAGAAGCTCACTCCTGTAACACTGTTCAACAGGTAAAAAGTTTTGGGCATAAAATTAGCTAATCTTACATAATTTTGGGGTGCTGCTGAAAACGAAAATGACCCTAAAAATTGTTGATTGGCTCTAGTTTCCATGATATATTCACCCATCTAATGACGTAAGCCATTCAAAATTATGATGCAACTTCAGCTGCATATTGCGCAATTGATACTGGCGACCAATAGAAAATTACATGTATACTGAGATGATGCAATATTAGCCTTTAATTGCATCACTTCACTGCATAAAAGCTGCAGTATCTGTAGCTGATTGGAGTTCGTCTTTACATTTCGTTTTCTGCTTCTATAGGCTACTCAGTAATGCCTCAAACTTGTGTGAATAAAGCAGATAATTTCTGCTATATCTGCGGTGAAAATAACTTTTATCTCACAAAAAAGGAGGATAACAGGAATGATTAAGAAAGCCTACAACTTGTATTTTGGCTGCAAGATAGGAGACCAGGACAAGAGCTGGGCACCACATATATGCTGCAATTCTTGTGGGACGGCACTGGAGCAATGGTTGAATGGAAAAAAGGCATCTATGCCTTTCGCTGTGCCAATGATTTGGAGAGAGCCAACAGATCATGTTAGTAATTGTTACTTTTGTATGGTGCCTCCAATTGTAAAAGGGCTAAATAAGAAGAAAAAGTTATCTGTGCACTATCCAAATATTCCATCGGCAATACATCCAGTTCCTCATGGAGAGGGGCTACCAATTCCTAAAGCACCAGAATCCTTCGTGGTTGAGTCAAGTGAGGAAGAACCTGAAGCGTGTAGTCACGTGCAGTTGTAAGAGATAGCCCTTTCCTCGAATACAAGAGAAAAGCCAAGAGAAGCAAAACCGACACAAACTGAAGACAAAACTAGTGAGAATCCTAAGTATTAAAATGATTCAACTTCGCTTATGGCTATAATTTTCTTGGTAATCCTATGCAATATATTCTGCCATTTAGGCTTTGTTATGTAGTCATATCACTTGCTTTATATTTGTGGAAAGACATCTATCTATATAATTATTGTGCATTATGTAGTCATTACGCCTATAGTAGAAAATGTTCCGTTTACAGAAAAACTAGAGCCAATTGACAAATTTCATTGTTATATTTGAACTCAGAATGTGAAATTCATTAAGAAATGGATCCTTTTGTTTCCAAAACTGGCAAAAAATAAAAATTTGTTGAACAGTGTAATCAGCCATCACCTGAGGCTGATTGCAGGAGGTGTATTTAAGGAATGGCCAGACCTGCAGTCAGTGCCTTGGTGTATGTTTCCCATGAGCCCCTGTACCTGCATCCTGCCTGATTCCTGATTCTGCTTTGATCCTGACTCTGCGTGAACTCCGCCTGTCCTGACCTCTGCTATTCCTGACCACTCTCCAGCCTGCTCCTTTGGTACCTTGTCTGCCTGATTGTTCCTGACCCGGCCCGTCTGACTACGCTCTGCCTACTCCTTTGTGTCTTGTCTGCCCGATGGTTCCTGACCCAGCCCGCCTGACCACTCCACCTCACCAGCCCTGACTGCTCTTGTCTGTGTACATTCCGTTATCAGTTGGAGGTTTGGTTTTGTTGTGCGTTTATATTTGTGTATAACCTTTAATAAATTATATTGTTACACCATACTTGAGCCTGCGCCTGCATTTCCCTGTGTCAGTTCACGCATCTCTGGTCTTACCTGGAGCCCTGACAGCCAGATTTGTCGAGTGCATGACTAATAGTTGTCCTGTGGACAGATTCTCCCACCTGAGCTGTGGATCTCTGCAGCTCCTCCAGAGTTACCATGGGCCTCTTGGCTGCTTCTCTGATTAATGCTTTCCTTGTCCAGCCTGTTAGTGTAGGTGGACGGCCATGCCTTGGTAGGTTTGCAGTTGTGTCATACTCTTTTCATGTTTGGATGATGGATTGAACAGTGCTCTGTGATAAGTTCCAAGCTTGGGATATTTTTTTATAACCTAACCCTGCTTTAAACTTCTCCACAACTTTATCCCTGACCTGTCTGGTGCGTTCCTTGGCCTTCATGATGCTGTTTGTTCACTAATGTTCTCTAACCTCTGAGGGCTTCACAGAACAGCTGTTTTATACTGAAATTAAATTACACACAGGTGGACTCTATTTACTAATTAGGTGACTTCTGAAGGTAATTGCTTCCACTAGATTTTAGTTAGGGGTATCAGAGTAGAGGGAGCTGAATACAAATGCACACCACACTTTTCATATATTTGTAAAACATTTAAAAATCATTTATTATTTTCCATCCACTTCATAATTATGTACCACTTTGTGTTGGTCTATCACATAAAATCCCAATAAAATACATTTACGCTTTTGGTTGGAACATGACAAAAGGTGGAAAATTTCAAGCGGTACGAATACTTTTTCAAGGCACTGTACCTAAAAGTCAGTAATTGTGGCCATATTATTAATCATCTATCAAATAAATTTATCAAGCTTGCATATAACCATGTATGTCAATTGCAAGCAGCATTATTAAAGCTATTTCAATTAGTCATTCAAAAAATGTATATTTTTTTATGATTCCAGGAAGAAGAAAAGCCGACACTATATGTATTTAATGCAGTGACACAAGAAAAGGTCCCGATAATGGGAAAGGTTCATCTTCTCAATGAAAGAGTTTCACAGCTGAAATCCCTAGTGTCTATGAAATGTGGATTCCCAGTCAGTGTTTTCTGCCTGAGGACATTAGAAGGCAAAGAAATGTATGACTGTAACACCCTGAGCGATTACAAGCTGGAAATAGGTAAAATAACCACTATAAGACAATGTGCCTTATGATTAAGAACAGTTTTGTTCTGCCTATGGCAGGCAGTCAAGTTCCCTCTGCACTCTCCTACAACTACTTTTATTGGTTATTTCTGAAAATTGGCTTGGTTGTTTTTGGTGCACAAAGTCTGGTGCTAGAAAATGTCAGAACACAAATGCTGCATTATTATAACTATTGCTTGTGTTATACAGCACTCTTATCAGACACTTGATACTTCTTCAAACTCTGTAACTGAAGGCCCATACCTTGTTACCAACCTGGGGCTGTTTGTGATTACAAGGCTTTGCAAAAAAAATTAAAAATGCACATTCTTCTTTTAATACAAGTGCATTTATTACTTAAAAAAAGAAGGAATATGCTTTTAAAACTAAACTCTATGCAAACATAAAAAGACATATTTTAATGCACACTATAATGCCAAAAGTATTGGGACACCCCTCTCTGGATTCAGGAGTTCCAATCACCTCCATGGCCATAGGTGTATAAAATCAAGTACCTTGGCATGCAGACAGCTTCTACAAACATTTGTGAAAGAATGGGTCGCTCTCAGGAAGTCAGTGAATTCAAGTGTGGTACCGTGATAGGCTGCAACCTGTTCAATAAGTCCATCCATGAGATTTCCTTGCTACTAAGTATTCCACAGTCAACTGTTAGTGGTATTATAGCAAAGAGGAAGCAACTGGGAATAAAAGCAATTCAGCCACGAAGAGGTAGGCCACGTAAAATGACTGAGTGAGGTCAGCACATGCTGAAGCGCACAGTGCGCAGAAGTCGCCAACTGTCTGCAGAGTCAATAGCTAAAGACCTCCAAACTTTGTGTGACCTTCAGATTAGCACAAGAATAGTGCATAGAGAGCTTCATGAAATGGGTTTCCATGGCCGAGCAGCTGCATCCAAGCCTTACATCACCAAGTGCAATGCAAAGCGTCAGATGTAGTGGTGTTAAGCACGCCGCCAATGGACTGTAGAGCAGTGGAGATATGTTCATTGGAGTGACGAATCACGCTTCTCTGTCTGGTAATCTGATGGACATGTCAGGGTTTGGTGGTTGCCAAGAAAACGGTACTTGCATGACTGCATTGTGCCAAGTGTAAAGTTTGGTGGAGGGGGGGATTATGGTGTGGGGTTTTTTTTCAGGGGTTAGGCTTGGCCCCTTAGTTCTAGTGAAGAGAACTCTTAAGGCATCAGCATACCAATACATTTTGGACAATCTCATGCTCCCAACTTTGTGGGAACAGTTTGGAGATGGCCCCTTCCTGTTCCAACATGACTGCATTAGTGCAGAAAGCAAGGTCCATAAAGACATGCATGAGTGAGTTTGGGGTAGAGGAACTTGACTGGCCTGTGCAGAGTCCTGACCTCAACCCAATAGAACACTTTTGGGATGAATTAGAGCGGAGACTGCGATCCAGGCCTTCTCATCCGACATCAGTGCCTGACCTCACAAATGCACTTCTGGAAGAATGGTCAAACATTCCGATAGACACACTCCTAAACCTTGTAGACAGCCTTCCTAGAAGAATTGAATCTGTTATAGCTGCAAATGGTGGGCCAACTCAATATTGAACCTACGGACTAAAACTGGGATGCCATTAAAGTTCATGTGCATGAAAAGGCAGGCGTTCCGATACTTTTGGCAATATAGTGTAGCTCTGCAGTCACTAAGGCCCCTTTCGCACAGGGTGGATCTGCTATGCTCAGAAGGGGATCTGTCTGTTGATTCCCTGCTGAGCAAAGCAGAGCATGTGGATGACAAGTCCATGTCCACTCCATTTATGCAGAGCAGACATGCACCAAGCACACCCTACTTGTGGATTCACACATGTGCATTGAAAATTGAAGCTCTGTTTTCACAGCTAATTGACAAAGTAGTTGTTCAGCAGTTCAGGTCAGGTTTACATCAGGATCAGGCCAGGATTTTATCCTGTTCACAACATGACATATGCGATTCAGAAATGTTCCTATAGAGGTCAATGGGCCTGAATTTGCATCTAACCTGAACCACACTGCTCAGAAAACTGACAGGACTTCTTTTTCAATTTGCACTGAATCCACATAATAGAAAGCAATGTTCTTTCACGTCATTTGAATTAGATGCGGTTCACAACGCATCCAATTCGCTTATGTGTGAACCAGCTCTTCTTATGGGTGATTGGGTGTACATCCTCTTCCATTTGTTTTTAGCAGAACAGATATGCAGGTATAAATAGAAACAAGTCTGTTTACACCCAGCAGTCTATAATGCCGGTCTGAAAAAAATGACAGGTGGACCTGATCTAAACGTTCGTGTGAAAGGGGCCTAATACATCTTTATTTTTAAAATGCAAGCAATGAAAGTACTTGCATTTGACCTCTTGCTGTCCCTGTACATCAGGACTGCAGTGTGAAAGAAACAGTACAAGAGCCAATCAGTACATGTTCTGACAAGAAGCATGCTGATAGGAAGAGAAAGCAGAATGAAAGAGAGATGAGCTCATCACTATGCTGCTTCTCCTTTCACTGTGCAGTCATAGGCTGAGACAGGTCTAGGACAATTTGGGCTAGAGAAAGTAGGTGGAATATTGTTGGCCATTAGACTGGGGACACTAAGTGAAAAGGAAATAATATCGGACTGTGCCACAGGTGACACAAAAAGGGGGGTCTTATCTTACCACCAAAGAAACAATTGTGCAGAAAAAAGCAATAGACAGCGCTACCCTACACCCCCACCTCTATCCATACTCCATTCTAAATCACATTTATCAAAGTGCCATATGCCAATGTGCAACAAATTGTTTAAAACCATAAATAAATAAACATAAACAAATCTCATACAGAATTATAAAAGTGCTACGTGCAAAAGGTACTTCAAATAAATATCTGTAGAAAAAAAAAAAAAATTATATATAGGTGTTCACTTACCGGCCACTTTATTGGGTACACCTGTTCAGTTGCTTAGTAACACAAATTGCTAATCAGCCAATCACATGGCAGCAACTCAATCATTTAGGCATCTAGACGTAGTGAAGACTACTTTTTGACGCTCAAACCGAGCATCAGAACGGAGAAGAAAGGGGATTTAAGTGACTTTGAACATGGCATGGTTGTCGGTGCCAGATGGGCTGGTCTGAGTATTTCAAAAACTGCTGATCTAATGGGATTTTCATGCACACAACCATCTCTAGGGTTTACAGATAATGGTGTGAAAAAGAGAAAATATCCAGTGAGCAGTAGTTGTGTGGACAAAAATGCCTTGTTGATGTCAGAGGAGAATAGGCAGACTGGTTGCTGCGACATTCATATGGTAAAGTCAGAATTTGGCATAAACAACATGAAAGCATGGATCCATCCTGCCTTCTGTCAACGGTTCAGGCTGATGGTGGTGTAATGGTGTGGGGGATATATTCTTGGCTCTAGCAAGGTGTACCTAATAAAGTGGCCAAAACGAATCCCAAACCTAAGCTAAATACTTAGTGGTCTATACAGTGGGGATCGAAAGTTTGGGCACCCCAGCTAAAAATTTGTATTAATGTGCATAAAGAAGCCAAGGAAAGATGGAAAAATCTCCAAAAAGGCATCAAATTACAGATTAGACATTCTTATAATATGTCAACAAAAGTTAGATTTTATTTCCATCATTTACACTTTCAAAATAACAGAAAACAAAAAAAAAAAATGGCGTCTGCAAAAGTTTGGCCACCCTGCAGAGTTAATATCTTGTACTGCCCCCTTTGGCAAGTATCACAGCTTGTAAACGCTTTTTGTAGCCAGCCAAGAGTCTTTCAATTCTTGTTTGAGGTATCTTCGTCCATTCTTCCTTACAAAAGTCTTCCAGTTCTTTGAGATTTCTGGGCTGTCTGTCACGCACTGCTCTTTTAAGGTCTATCCATAGATTTTCAATTATGTTGAGGTCAGGAGATTGTGAAGGCCATGGCAAAACCTTCAGTTTACACCTCTTGATGTAATCCCCCATGGATTTTGTGGTGTGTTTAGGATCATTATCCATTTGTAGAAGCCATCCTCTCTTTAACTTCAGCTTTTTCACAGATGGGACTAGTTACCATCCAAAATTTGCTGAAATTTTATTGAATCCATTTTTCCTTCTGCTCGTGAGATGTTCCCTGTGCCACTGGCTGCAACACAACCCCAAAGCATGATTGATCCAACCCCATGCTTAACAGTTGGACAGAGGTTCTTTTCATTAAATTCTGTGCCCCTTCTTCTCCAAACGTACCTTTGCTCATTCCGGCCAAAAAGTTCAATTTTTTAACCTTATCGGTCCACAGAACTTGTTTCCAAAATGCATCAGGCTTGTCTATATGTTCATTTGCAAAATTCAAACGATGATTTTTGTGGTGAGGACGTAGAAGAGGTTTTCTTCTGATGACTCTTCCATGAAGACCATATTTGTACAAGTATCTCTTTATAGTGGAATAGTGTACCACAACTCCAGTGTCTGCCAGATCTTTCTGGAGGGATCGTGCAGTCAAACGTGGGTTTTGAATTGTTTTTCTCACAATCCTGCGAGCTGTTCTGTCTGATATTTTTCTTGGTCTTCCAGATCTTGCTTTAACTTCCACTGTTCCTGATGACTGCCATTTCTTAATTACATTCCGAACAGAGGATATTGACATCTGAAAACGCTTTGCTATCTTCTTATAGCCATCTCCAGCTTTGTGAGCGTCAACTATTTTCAGTTTCAGTTTTCTAGACAACTGCTTAGAAGAACCCATGGTGCTGATTGTTGGGGCAAGGTCAGATGAGTCTGGGCATTTAAAACCTTTGAGCTTGACATCACCTGGTCTTCACAGACGATGATTGAGAACAATCCATGACACTGGCAGGTCTCAGCTTGGCAGAGGGGGCAGTGCATGCTATAAATTCTGCAGGGTGCCCAAACTTTTGCAGACGCCATTTTTTTGTTTTCTGTTATTTTGAAAGTGTAAATGATGGAAATAAAATCTAACTTTTGTTGACATATTATAAGAATGTCTAATCTGTAATTTGATGCCTTTTGGAGATTTTTCCATCTTTCCTTGGCTTCTTTATGCACATTAATACAAATTTTTAGCTGGGGTGCCCAAACTTTCGATCCCCACTGTATATAGTGAAACATTTCTTGTATGAATGTCACAAGCATTTGTACAGACTGCTCAAATATTTCCCCCTATTTTCTCAAATAATATGGTGTCCCATGATTGTCATCCCAATCTAGTGGTGTATATTTTCTAATTGGGCTATTTCAGAAAAATTTACCACATTTTGGCAGATAGATGGTTGTGACAATCATATGACGTCATAGTGTGAGAGAATATGAGAAAATTTGTGCAGCCTGGTTAATTGTGACATTCATCCAACAAATTTTTATAAATACTGTAGACCCTTAACCTCAACCTAATCAATAAAGGTAAGACTAACTCCAAACAGGGGAAATATGCAGCATACTGTCATGGTGGTTAATACTATAAATTAATTAGCTAAATCTTGTTTCAGCATGCTTTTAGCGGTTTTCAATTCACCAATTCAGACAGCACACCTTATATTTTCTGTCTGTAGCCCCATCTGTTGTCCAAACTTTCTATTTTTTTTTTTATTCTTTGGTCCTTGAAAAAAGTAAACCTTCACATTACTGTTTCAGAAGTTTCCTTTTTTGTTTAAACATGTATTATGCGGCATGTTACTGCACAGGTTAAAGTGGAATTCCAGCCTACCTCTATCCATGCTTGAAAATGTTCCCTTACCCTCCTGCTGCCTATCTTTCCTAATTTATAAAAAAAAAGATGTGTATATGTACTTATTTTTTAGTCCACTCCGGTCCTATGATCCCATGTGTCAGTGAGCAGCAGCTGCAAGGGAGAAAAGGGAGTGCTCGAACAATGTCTGGGAATTCCAGAAGCCATCACGTTACTCATAGGCCCCCATAGTTCAGCCATTATCAGAGCTCCTTCCAATCCTCTGTAGACAGGGCTCACTGACATGGGAGCCAGACCTTTGGGATCACGTGACCAAGCCAGACTACAAATATGTAATTATACAAATAATTTTTTACACAGGTTAGGCATGATGGTAGCAGGAAGGGCATGAGAACATTTTGAAGCATAGTTTGTTAGGCTGGAAAACAACTGTCACTGGAATGACCTCTGTCTGAAGTCTAAGAAATTAAACTACATATCCCATAATCCTTGGGTCTCTAAGTCTAGCACTGGTGCAGGTGAGAGCTACACAGAAATTAGATCTGACACAGACACAAACTGGCAGCGCATTAACAACAAAGCTTAGCATGCTTAGGAAATATTTTTTCATCACATTAGCACTCTTACATTTGTGGTGCAACACAGAGAAATGACAAGGAATGAATTGGTTGCTGTGGGAGTCAGAACAATACAGTAAGTTGTCTTGTCCCTCTGGTTCATAGGGACAGGCTACTTGCAACAATACATGGACATAGGGGAACATTCAGCCACAACACTACAAACTGCAGCCACAACAAATGATCTGATCATTACAAAGTAAGGGAAACAAAGAACACAGGGAATAGAACTACACAAATACCTAGTTAAAACAACAAAAAACATTTGAAAGTTTACAATACTTTTACAGCAGTAGTGAGCACATCAAACTTTTTCTACTACCTTTTTTTTCTAATACAGTATCATTACTTTTGATTGGCAACTAATCCCTGGACATGATGTTACAATTCTCTAGTTCAGAATTAGTATATTAGCCTTTCAGTTACATGTTTTCCTGTTTTTGGCAACTCAATTTTCTTTTTTTTTTTCCCTCTCAACAGTAAATATAATCCTGTGGCTTCTACTGCATTTTATATCATATACATAAACACAGAATTCAAAGAGGAAGCGGTAGTATAAAAAAAATATTAGTGATATGGATGAATGTGAAATATTATATGTGAAGGTTTATGTTTTCTCACAGTCAGCAGGTGGAGCTCTTGGATACTTTTCTAATACTTTCCACTTTCTCCTTACCTTGTCTTGTGTTTTCTGAGCTAAATAGTTAAAGTTGAAATTTACACACACACAGCAGTCACTCCTCCCATACAGGTGCTGCTTATAAAGTTGTAATGCAAAGATTGTAGGTATAACATATGTTTTAACCGGAGAAAAAATTTAGCAAAAATAGGTACAGTTGACCTAGAATCATTACAGTTTTCCTTTAAAATCCCAGCTTCTTCTCTGTCTTTCTGTTTAAAGAATAATTTCCAGCAGCGTGCATTCCTAATGTTTCCAGATGTGCAGTTAAAGCCTTACTGGAACTGCAATGGCTAGCAAATAAATAGTAAATAATAGAGGGGGTGAAGAAGCGGGCAGACTATATCCCTTGCATCTTGGATGTGCTTGCCTCGCGATCATCCTTGCAGGAGATTACAAAGGATGACATCTGCAGACAGCTTTATCTTCCATAAGCCAGGAAATTTGAACTGGCAGAACTTTGCATCATGTGGAGCTTTTGGGGACAGCAGGAGCACAGAATATTGTAGGAGAACATTCATTTTGTAAACTTGCTCGATTGGCCTGGATAAGAGAATAAGATAATTACATATCCTGTAAGATATATAGCCAATAAGATCTAGTGATCCAAAGAAGCTTGGCATCCCAAAGGTAATGCTCTATTTCTTCTTCGATAACATAATCCCTTCCCACCTTGGTCATTACTACACCAATATACACATGCTGTATCTCATTCCAAGACGTAATCTTGTTTCATCAATAATGCCATACATTGTACTTGAATATGCATACTTGGGTGTGAAAAAACACCCATTTCTAATCTTGGATAGTTTGTACAAATTTCCAAAAATGTAGTTTGCGTTTTATAAACTCTTGGTGGGTGTCTAGTGTAGGTACAATAGGTAAAAACTGTAGTGCAATTACAAAAGGTAAAAACTATATGTATATCATGGTCTAAATTTTATAGAAAGTCTAAAACATTTGGCACTTGTGACTTCGTAGGGAGATTTTCCTTCCCATTGCTTCTCGCTTAACTGCAGAATATATCTATAGACCTCTAGTGGTTATTTATTATAATTACAGGTACTCCAGCATCATTCTTAGACTTGCTGCAAAACACATTTATTATAAAAAAAACAAAAAAACAGCATGTAGAGCAGATGTATTTTTCATATGTGTACATAAAACACCTGCATATCTAAGACAGGTAGTACTCATACGCACAAGTGCTGATTGCAGAAGCATGCTTGGTGTACAGCAGTGTACATGTCTCTGAGCAATTATTCCTTCAAATATGGTTCATATATACACATAGTGTATACATTGCAGCAATAAATATTCGCCTGTTTTTATTATATTTAGGTGGAGTACTAAGACTGGATGTATGGGATGGCTGGAAGGAACTTTTGGAAGCCTGTGTCCTGGGCCACAAACAAAATGTTCAGCGATACTTATCAAAGAATGAAACCATCCTCAGGTATATGAACCACAACTTTTGGGCTCGATTTCCATTGCTGGAGTCAGTGAACACACAAACTTAGGCACCCAACACACCTTTACACTGCTAGGACTGCCAATAGTGCAAAGAACATTTTCTTATTTTACTGAATCTAACATGGCTTTGAATATAGTCACAATAAGTGCCAGTTCACATATATATGTGGTTTGAACCAAATCCAATCCACATTACATGTGAAATAACAATGTTTCCTATGGTGTCTGTTTACATATGTCCAGTGCACTGGCAGTGTAGATTGAAAAAGAGTCCTGTCTGATTTTCTGAGCAGTGCAGTCTGTTCAAGTGCGGATTACAGGCTATTGACTTCTAAGGGAATGTTCAAGTGCGATTACAGGTTAAAATCGTGACTGAATTGATCAACTTGTCTGAACCTGATGTAAACCTGACCTGAACTGCTGAAACTACTGTGTCGATTAACTGTGAAACCTGAGCTTCAATCCATACCGCACATGTGTGAATCCACACTAAGTAAATACGTTTGGAAGAGATGACTGTGTCTCTACTGATGATGACAGAAAGCCGCCTCTACCTCTGGTGCCTATATGAACAGGCCTATTATACCTAATGGTAAATATGGTCTTGGAGTTCATTGATAGCAACTTCAGTTTTATTTGTTGTCTACTTCAGTTGTGCAGACTAGGGCTAATGAAAATGGTGAGGTTGCTCTTAAATCATGAGATCCTATTATTTCTCCTGTTAATTTATAATTGAAAAACTGCTAGTAGTCATGAATAGCTTAGGCCTCATACCATATGCACCAAAAAGTATATTTTGACCCACGGCTGCACTATCCCTATTTTGCTGGGATAAATACTATGGCTTGCAAGGCACTTATATATTCTCTGGCCCTTCATTTAGGATTTGCATACTGTTTGCTGTGCACTGGGGTTTGTTTACTAATTCTGGAGAGTGCAAAGTCAGGCTAATTTCTGCATAGAAACCAATCAGCTTCCAGGTTTTACTGTCAAAGCTTAATTGAACAAGCTGAGGTTAGAAGCTGATTGGTTTTTTTTTCTTTTTTTTTTTTTTTGGAATTTTTTTCCAGCAGGGGCACAATTGGATCATGCTTTGCTGGGGTTTTTTTTGCCTTCCTCTGGATCAACTGTGGGTGTAGGATTATAACTTTTTTTTTTCTATGGTTGAGCTGGAAGGACATTTGTCTTTTTTCAGCCAGACTAACTATGTAAGCCGATGTCACACAAATATGCGGCCTCACAGAACTGTTTTTTTTTTTCGTGGGACCACATATTTGCATATCTGTCTTTGTGCTGAGAGCGTGCCACACAGCGTACTCCCAGTACAAAGACTGAGGTGTCACTGAGAGCCCCGAGTCCTATTCTAACGATCGGGACCTGGGACTCCCGATTCCGGGTCACATGATCGCTGTGATAGGCCCTAATTGGCTATCACAGAGATCAGTCACTTTGAAGCCCACCCCCCTTGTTTTTTTTTCTCTCTGAACAGAGGAGAGAGATACATTGTATCTCTCTCCTTGCATAGAGAAAAAAACAACTGTTTGAAAAAGAAAAAAAAAAGATATATAAACATTAAAAAATAAAGAAAAAAAATACCTAGATCAAGGTTTGATCTAGTTCAGTGCCAGGGTTACTGTTTGTGTCAAAAATAAAAGGTCAGGATATTATTTTTTCGTTGTCAGTGTGTTTTAGGTAAAAAAAAACCCCAAAAAACAAAGACCAAACTGCGCACTATTGTTTCTGGGCTGTAGTACAGGTACAAACAACAAATAACATACATATAAAGTGGGGCAAAAAAGTATTTAGTCAGCCACCAATTGTGCAAGTTCTCCCATTTAAAAAGATGAGAGAGGCCTGTAATTGGCATCATAGGTAGACCTCAACTATGAGAGACAAAATGAGAAAACAAATCCAGACAATCACATTGGCTGATTTGGAAAGAATTTATTTGCAAATTATGGTGGAAAAATAAGTATTTGGTCACCTACAAACAAGCAAGATTTCTGGCTCTCACAGACCTGTACCTTCTTCTTTAAGAGGCTCCTCTGTCCTGCACTCATTACCTGTATCAATGGCACCTGTTTGAACTTGTTATCAGTATAAAAGACACCTGTCCACAACCTCAATTAGTCACACTCCAAACTCCACTATGGTGAAGACCAAAGAGCTGTCGAAGGACACCAGAAACAAAGTTGTAGACCTGCACCAGGCTGGGAAGACTGAATCTGCAATAGGCAAGCAGCTTGGTGTGAACAAATCAACTGTGGGAGCAATAATTAGAAAATGGAAGACATACAAGACCACTGATAATGTCCCTCGATCTGGGGCTCCACGCAAGATCTCACCCCGTGGGGTCAAAATGATCACAAGAACGATGAGCAAAAATCCTAGGACCACACGGGGGGACCTAGTGAATGACCTGCAGAGAGCTGGGGCCAACGTAACAAAGGCTACCATCAGTAACTCACTACGCCGCCAAGGACTCAGATCCTGCAGTGCCAGACGTGTCCCCCTATGTAAGCCAGTACATGTCCGGGCCTGTCTGAAGTTTGCTAGAGAGCATTTGGATGATCCAGAAGAGGATTGGGAGAATGTCATATGGTCAGATGAAACCAAAATAGAACTGTTTGGTAGAAACACAACTCGTTGTGTTTGAAGTAGAGAGAATGCTGAGTTGCATCCAAAGAACACCATACCTACTGTGAAGCATGGGGGTGGCAACATCATGCTTTGGGGCTGTTTCTCCGCAAAGGGACCAGGACGACTGATCCATGTACAGGACAGAATGAATGGGGCCATGTATCGTGAGATTTTGAGTGCAAATCTCCTTCCATCAGCAAGGGCATTGAAGATGAAACGTGGCTGGGTCTTCCAACATGACAATGATCCCAAGCATACCACCCGGGCAACGAAGGAGTGGCTTCGTAAGAAGCATTTCAAGGTCCTGGAGTGGCCTAGCCAGTCTGCAGATCTCAACCCCATAGAAAACCTTTGGAGGGAGTTGAAAGTCCGTGTTGCCCAGCGACAGCCCCAAAACATCACTGCTCTAGAGGAGATCTGCATGGAGGAATGGGCCAACATACCAGCAACAGTGTGTGCCAACCTTGTGAAGACTTACAGGAAACGTCTGACCTCTGTCATTGCCAACAAAGGATATATAACAAAGTATTGAGATGAACTTTTGATATTGACCAAATACTTATTTTCCACCATAATTTGCAAATAAATTCTTTCCAAATCAGCCAATGTGATTGTCTGGATTTTTTTTCTCATTTTGTCTCTCATAGTTGAGGTCTACCTATGATGCCAATTACAGGCCTCTCTCATCTTTTTAAGTGGGAGAACTTGCACAATTGGTGGCTGATTAAATACTTTTTTTGCCCCACTGTATATGGTATCGCTGCTATCACCAAGAGCTGGAAAATTTATTTTGAGTTGTTCTTTGGTGGTAGGTTATGGTAGTAACAAACACACAGCTAAATTAAAAAAAAAATATTTTGTTTTTACTATTTTGGGCCAGGTTTCCTTTGATAATAAAAAAAAAAAAATCAGGAGATATCAATTACCATTTACCACCAAATGAAAGCCAAATTTGTCCTGAAAAAAAAAAGCAAGGTACAATGCACTTGGATGTACAAAGTAGTTGTGATGATATGTACGGTTTTACTAACACGTGAAAAAGTTGTAAAATTTTACTTAGGCTTTAAGATTTTATTTTACCCTTAGGCGTGAAGGGGTTAAGGTGCAACTGTTGTCCCTTATTTTGAAAACTGTAGGATTTCCTAATAAGAGCAATGCTTTGCAATAGACTGATTTCATTACACATTAGAACAGTAAAGAGAATTTCTGCTCCTTACAGGTACAGTATTTGCACCTAACACATTGGTCTTTGCCATGTAAATGTTTCCAGATAAGGGTTTCTAGTTAAAACAACTTCCCACCAGGTGTCTCTGACACCCACCTGTATTGACAAAAAGAGGTTTCCGTCTCCTTCATCTAGCCAGTCTTCCAGTAATGAAATTTACAGTTTTGTTTATATACTGTAAATGGTCATGTTTCCAGCCACCAGGCATTTAGAAGAAACAAAAGTAAATGTGCCCATGCAAAGAAGCTAAGGATTACAATACATGTGTTGGCCCTCTATCGTTCTACACCCACCCAGAAGAAAATGTTCAGAGGTATGTAGAGAGCCGACATTCAATTCGTGGGGGATATCCTGGCCTGGAGTTGTGAGTTTGAGAATATTTGGGTGGCAGTCCTTTTAGATAAAAATAGAGAAGAGCTCTATTACTTATAGTCTAGAGAGAAATGGGTATAACTCATGAGCTCTAGGTTAAAGTAGAGCTTCGACACTACATATTCATTGATGTAGAAAAGAGTCTCCCACTTCACTACTAACACTCCAGTGTTTTAGTATGCTTTTAATATTTACCTTTAGTATCTTCAGGAGAATCCACAAGCTTTAACTGAGACTCCAGTTATGGCCTACTACTCTTCAGAAGCAGCTTTAAGATCCCTTCACATGCAGGTTTCCCAAGGAAAGCAAACCCAGAATCCATTTCACGTGGCCTCTTCAGGCAGACAGACCTGAAAGAGAAACTCTGTAGCATACATCCTTCCCAGGCCAGAGCCTGGGGGAAATAGTGTGTATCAGTGCACTCCAAAGATTTATACTCTTATCCAGCATGCACCACAAACACAGGTAATTCCTATTGGTTTACTGGGAAAGATCTAAACATTCATAATGCAGACTTTAGGTTAGGTTCACATCTATGTGGGTAATTGTCATTGCGGGACCGCACCTGTTTCTACAGCCACTACCACCCACACAGAAAAACACAGGAGATGTGTGCAGGTGCCAATAATCCCAATGGCAGGTTGCATGCAGTGGAAATCACTCCCACACTGAGAACCTCACTGCACAGTGTGGCAGGCGGACACCCAGAGATGGACGCGGTTCAACCATTTTGGCTTCAACCTCCATCTTGGCAAAGGGGTTAACCATCCTGACAAACATATTTCCCCCTCATTCTCCCCCTTCCCTCTCTGAGAGGCCCAGCGACATTTGGCCAGTGTGTGTGTGTTAGGAGTGTCACAGGAGGCCAAAGTCCAGCGGGGGCTAGGAGCTATAAAATCCCCAAGGGAGCTGGGGCCTCACTGTCCAAAGAACCTGTGCCATTTAATACCTCGTAAAAAGATAACACAGCCTTCCCAGGAGTTCAAAAGACATTGAACCAGATAACCTTTTTAAAATCCATTTTTCCCCTATGTCTCCTATCTTGGAATATGAGAGACTTACATAAAAACCAGGCATATCGTCAGATTGGCCAAGAGGAGACGAACATTTTGATAGGTCACTCTCCATGGTTGGAATACATAGGAAAGCAGAAAAGTAGATCTCGTGATCCATTCAGTGTAGAATTTCATATTTAATATCTAATCAATCCTCAGACGTGTCCGCATAATAATCTAGAAATTCTGAAGGACCCTCTGCACACTGGTATATACCCTTTCAAGCAAACTATGCAACAAATAGGGATATTTGGTTCACACATATTGCAATACATGTTTAAGCTGGCCAACTGCGTCAAAGTAATCCCTCTATGGCCAGTCCTACTCTGCCCTGCCTACACAAGTGCTACTGTGGACACAATGCTAACATAGGGGAAAAGACACAATGGGGAGAGCTACAAGGTTCAGGTCTGGCTACTGACCCAACAATACAACAAACAAGAGATCCCTGTGCTCAAATCCATACAGCTAGTGCATGCATTTATCCATCAGGTGCTAAAGGGGTGTAACCACATTAACTCTAGAAATTCTGAAGGACCCTCTGCACACTGGTATATACCCTTTCAAGCAAACTATGCAACAAATAGGGATATTTGGTTCACACATATTGCAATACATGTTTATGGATAAATGCATGCACTAGCTGTATGGATTTGAGCACAGGGATCTCTTGTTTGTTGTATTGTTGGGTCAGTAGCCAGACCTGAACCTTGTAGCTCTCCCCATTGTGTCTTTTCCCCTATGTTAGCATTGTGTCCACAGTAGCACTTGTGTAGGCAGGGCAGAGTAGGACTGGCCATAGAGGGATTACTTTGACGCAGTTGGCCAGCTTAAACATGTATTGCAATATGTGTGAACCAAATATCCCTATTTGTTGCATAGTTTGCTTGAAAGGGTATATACCAGTGTGCAGAGGGTCCTTCAGAATTTCTAAAGTTAATGTGGTTACACCCCTTTAGCACCTGATGGATAAATGCATGCACTAGCTGTATGGATTTGAGCACAGGGATCTCTTGTTTGTCGCATAATAATCTACTCGCGGGTGGAGTGTCACTTATGCATATGGAAAGTTATGAGCCAAAGTATGAACTATAAGAGATTTTGGCTCTAGTTTAGGCCTATGCCCAGACGATCCCTCCCTAAACGGGGTATTGGTCCTTAACTTCAGAGACACCCCCTGCCAGGGAACTACAAATTTGGTTGTCAGGCCTAAGAAAAGTTAAGTTGAAGAAGTCTCCCATTTTAACATCAGAACCACCTGGGGACACCCGTACCCTTTCGCTCTGAAACTTGATCTGCAAACCGAAGGCTGATTGGCAAGTACTTTAACCCTTTAACCTCCTTCTGTTACCTCTTTGCTGTGCTGTTGTTCTCTGTATATTTATATATATATTGGTTACATCTTTTTTCTGTAAATATTTTTATTGCACCCTTTTTGACCTTTTGGTAATAAATCTTTCCTTCTGAAAGTGTTGAACTGTTTCTATAGCTCTTAATTGCAATTCACGAATTCCTGCCTCTAAAAAGAGGGCTACTGTGTTTGTTTAACCCTCTGTATAACCGGCCTGCGGTGATCGTGTTATACAGATGATTATTTCAACCATTATAGTGTTATAGCTGATATTGCCGAGTTTCCTCTTTCTCTGTACAAAAAGGAGGTGGTGGCAGTGTGAAGGGTTAATTGCGTAATTAACCTGACCCAGTAACAAATGCTCAGGCTTCCGGTACATAGATTGTGGTCCAATTAGCTGGAAAATCGTTGTGCAGGGTGCAGCTGGGTGTGGCATTGTTACGCATGTGACATCGCGGTTTTAGATTGGCTAGTCCTTCGGTCACGAGTTTGGTGAGAAGGGCTGGGGTCTGACGCTGCGTTCGTAACATATTGGTGACAGCGATTGTGGGATCGTCACATATTGGTGGCAGCAATCTTGCGTTCGTCACACACAGCACTGCACCCTGCATTTCAGGAAGCAAGGCAGCCCATTCAAATGAATGGGCTTTCGTGCCCGCATAAATCACGGGTCACAGAACTGCAATAGTGTGAACCTAGCCTTAGGCTTGAGCGTCTTGTAGCTTGAAGCTCGAGGCTCCAAAAAAGCTCAAACTTAAAAATTTAATTGTTCTCTATGGTACCTGTTCACACTTGATTGCGCGAACAAGCACCATAGAGAACAATAGATTTTTTAATTTTGAGCTTTTTTTGGAGCTTCGAGCTTCAAGCTACAAAACGCTTACCCTAGGTTCACATCTGTGCGGGTGGTGCCGCTGCGGATCTGCACGAAAATCCATGAAGCCGCACCACCCACACAGAGAAATGCGGACCTGCGGGCGGGTGCTATTAGTGCTAATGGCACACCGCCCGCATTGGAAACGCAACCGTACTGGGAACCGAGGTTCCCGTGCGGGCTGTGTTTTTCAAAGAAGTGCAGGAACTTCTTCCCTGTGTGTCACGGGAGTCCATTCAAATGAATGGGCTCTTGTGCCCGTGCAAAATACGGTGCACACGGCCACATATATGTGAACCGGGGGTTAAGTGTGAATGTAGCTTCACTGTGAATCCTCCCACTAGTGTCAGAGGTGCCAGTGACTCTTAGTGGCAGAAAGGAGAACTGACAGCCAGACTTACAGGTAACTGAGCAAGACAAAACTACAAATTTGCACTGGCTGGTTACAGCCGTGCTGACTAAATTTGGCACGGTTGCTACACTTGCATTGGCCTTTAAACAACAGTTCAATTTAAAAGGATAAGTTCACCTTTATGCAAAAAATAATAAATGCACTTTTTTCCAGGTAAAAAAAAAATTACCATTTATTATTTTTTGTTTTGGGAGCCTGTAAATCATTGCACCAGCGACCAGTAAATCTCTGGTGCCATGTAGGACTCCTGCAGATCTGTCAGTATATCTGCTTGCCCTTACAGGATGTACGGGCAAGCAGATATACTGACAGGAAGAATCAATGAACTACCATAGCGCTCCACAGTGCCATGATAGTTCATTGAAAACTACAAGCAGACAGGCTGTCGGTACTTGTACTTTCTCATTCACAGAGCACAGTGAATGAGTGACATGGCCGGGCATGTGGACAGATAGCGAGGGGGTGAAGATCCCCTGATCATAACATGTTATACCCTGAATATGGGTGTAACATTTTAGGAAAGGTGAACTTATCCTTTAAACAAAATGTAATCTGCATTATGATGTAAACTAGGTATATAAAACCATTTGTAGGACTACATACTGCCCTATCATTTCCTCCTCACTGTACCGTACCTGGTGGTGGAGCCTTGACGTGTAGAGGTAGGCTTCTCTTATACCTCTGGCTCAGGAGTTCTGGTAAAGTGACAGGAGTGCCTGAACACAGAGTGGGTACGAGTGCCTGACTGGTCTTCCGTTGCAGGATCCCGGAGAGCTGCACAAGGTTGGGGGATGAGTAGGTAGTACGTTGCTGTGGGCAGGCTGTGTTAGCTGAATGGCAGGCTTGCCTTGCTGATGAGCAGGCTGTGCGTTGCTGTGGAGCAGGCTGTGCTGAGGGAAGACCAGCATGGCAAGTGACACAAGTCAGCTAGTTCAGATGCAGAGAGCAGGGTCAGGCAGTCCGGGTTGGCAACTGAAAAGCATATCAAGGAACAACAGGACAGGCAAAAGAATAGTCAAGGTTAGGCCATGGTCAGCAATGGTAGGCAGGTGGCTGTATAAGCAGGAGGAGCAGGCAGAGATCAAAACCAAGGACAAGCCAAGGGTCGGTACAGGCAACGACGAGGCAAGGTTGGGGCAGATCAAGTTGGGAACAGAGAAATAATACAGAAACAGGTTTCGGGTAATTCAGGGAATGTACTAGACCAAGCAACAAGGACCCCAGGCCATGGCACAGTTTAAATAGCCCGCCTGGTGCGTGCTCATACACTTGCTCACGCTCCCGTGCACCCGTTCGTGCATGTGCACCCATTCACACATTCGTGCATGCACACCTGTGAATCGGCCACGAGCAACTGTTCTGCGCACCAGAATGCGTCTTCCCTGACGCTCGCATTCTCAGCCAACCTGAATTTAAATGGGCTGAGTCTAAAATATCTCATGTACTCAAACAGCAATTTTTTTTCCTGGCTCTGTTTCCACCCACCTAAGAATTATGGCAGTTTCTGCCCATTTGAGATGTCCCCACTCCTCCATTTGTGTTTTCTATAAAATAAAATAAAAATCCAAAGGAATGTGCAGAATCCTCTCAGGGTGGCCATGGCAGGCGTACAGACAGTTCAGGTAACACAAATACAGAGAACTTCTGAATACCTAAGAGGTTTATGAAACCATACCAAAAAACGTATAGAAAACTTTTCAGTTGACTGTGGAAGACTTACAGATACATTATTAACAATAACCTTTGTTTTTTCACATACAGATATCAACAGAGAGTAGCCCTTTACATAGCCGCACATTTTGGCCATCTAAAAATGGCAGCATGGCTTCAGAAGAAGGGTGTAAGAGCAGATGAAGCCATTGGTGTCCATCCATACAGAGAATGGTGCTGTGAAACTGATCACGCAGATATAGGCAAATGTGCCATTCATGCAGCTGCTGAAGCAGGCCAACTCCTTTTGATCAAAGCCTTTGTTGCACGTAATGTTTGTGTGTTTAGAATGTCAGACTCCTTTTGGCCAAACACCTCTCAGGACATGTATCCACCAGGGACGCAAAGACTGCGTATTATATTTAATCATGAAGATGTGGTCAGTTGTCTCTTTCACAAATATTTCCCTATCTATGAAAATCTATGTCAAGGTCAAAAAGTGGCTTTCTGTGACTCGGAAAAAAATATGCAAAGTAAAGAGGTGGGATCCACAATTTAAAATGCATGTTGGGGACCCATTTGTTGTGGATGGTTTCACAGAACCCAAGATGACCAGTAAAAGTCTGCATAATTTTCATCAGCACAAATGGAAAAATATTATCAGGAGTTATAACAATTCTCGGGTTCAGAGCAGCCAAGACTTTGATAATGCGGTCTTCAAACTCTGCCCTATGACACCAAAACCATCCAAGTTTCTTCCCGTAATGAAAACAGCAGAAAATCCAGCTCAGAAAAGACTTGAAGTTGAGCTGGAATCTTTGGATATTATTCATAACACATGGAAGGCTCAAATTTCTCTTCCACCAATCAACACGATTAGCAGCAACCGCCCCTGCAATTTAACAATGCCACATGCTACCTTTCTTCTGAATTCTTCCCTAGAGTCTTTCTCAAAGCACCATGGTCGAACACCAAGGCAAAATGCGATACATTTCTTAAGTTTAGCCAGGTAAATATAGTAGTTCTGTAAATTTTCATAGCTTGAATACTTGTATTTAATTGTCTGCTTGAATTTAATGTTGTCACTAACTGGGCGGAAGGTGAATTCAAATTTTTTATGCAATACTGAAAGATAAAAAGTCATTGCCAAGGATTAAAGTAGATCTTTCTCTAAAGTACAATTGCAGTGAGTGATCTGACTAAACAATCAGAAATTAAAGTGATTGTGTAGGTTCCGATATTTTTTTTAAATAACAAACATGTCATACTTATCTGCTCTGTAAAATGGTTTTGCACAGAGCAGCCCTGATCCTCCTCCTCCTCTTGGGTCCCCCGTCAGCATTCCAGGCCTCTTCCCCCTGCTGAGTGCCTCCAAAGGAAGTTGCTTGCCCTGGGGGCACTTGTAATGCTTAGCCCCACCCCTGATCCCTCCTCACTGGCTGTGATTGACAGCAGCAGGAACCAATGGCTTCTACTGCTGTGTCTCAGCCAATGAGGAGGCAGAGACCTGGGAGAGCCTCTGCTCCCATGCATATTGCTAGATTGGGATCAGGCTCAGGTAAGTATATGGGGATATTAGGGGATAAGCTGCACACTGAAGGTTTTTTAGCTTCATGCATGCATGAAGGTTAAAAAACCTTCAGGCTTTACAACCACTTTAACTCTGCAATGGCTATTTCAGTGAGCAGTGGTCAAATGCATCATTTGCAGTATATTTATGATTGGTCCTCCCTCAGAGCAATGGTTTTAAACTTTTGTGGTATAGGAAACCTCAACCTAAGTTCTTGACATCAACAAAGGCCTGCACATAGCGTTCAGTATTGCTTGAGAGGACTGTGGAAAAACTGCAGACATACTAGAGAAAATGATGGTTAGAAGACATGTTAAGCTTTGGTTGGAGACATGATGCAAAGACTTTGAGAAACCATGTTTCATGCGGCTACTAGAGATTCCTGCAGCAAAATAACAAAGTGTCACAATTTGGTCACCAGGGCCCTATGCCTAGATCAGTCTTTTTCAACCAGGGGGCCTTCTGGGTTCTTTAGGGATGACTTGGCAAAATAACAAAAAATTGTCACAAATTGCCAACCAGCCAGCAAACGGATCAAACCTACTTCTTTTGTTACACAAAGTCACAGGTTTTTGTTGTACAGCATTACAACTCTGGGTATTATATGGGACAACCACTGACATCCTAACAACCATTGACGTCATCTGTTCACAAGGAGGACTTCGGGCACCTACACACCACCCTTGTTTGCCCCTCGCCTGCACCTCTCTGTCAGCACTTGGGTCACATTAGCAGAGGGAGGGAGAGAAACTGAGGGAGAAGACAGATGTTAGAATACTAGTCAGTATCAGTTTGAAAAGGTGGAGGAACAAATCACCTGCAATAGTGGGTGGCACACACGTGTGTGGACTTTGCAGTGATATGTAACACTATTAGTTTAGTTTTCTTACATTTTAGAATGGGGAGCCCTGAGATTTTGCATTATTTTAAAGGGTTCCTTTGATCGAAAAAAGGTTGACAGATACTGGCCTGGGCTATCCCAAGGCACAGTGCTGAACTTGACAGAATAGTTTATGGGGTGAAGCAGATTTTGTTTTCAACACATTGAACAGATCAGTTCCTTCTCTAACATGAAATTTATCAACCTCTGAAATGCTCCAGCGTGATAGACAATCTGTGGAACTGCTGCTTCAGAGTTTTTGTAGCCATGAACTCTCAGTGCTTGAGTATCTGCAATTATGCTTACATACAGTGGGAAAGAATCCACCCCCTTTAAAGTGTTACTAAACCCACAACAGTAAAATCAGTCCGTAAATTCAGTAAAGCATGCATGTTATACTCATTGTGGGACCTAAAGGAGTTAATCCTCCACATTGTGTAAAAAAAAGCTGTTTTGATCCTGGCTTCTCTGATCCTCCCCTTCTACTGTCCCAATCCATCTGCTGATAGTACAGAGCTCTAGAAGTCACTCTGCACACTCTCAGTTTAGTGTGTAAGGCTAGAGTTTTTTTTTTCTTGGGAGGGTGCATGTGATCAGCACAGGGCCAATCAGCACTGTCCAGACAGAGGGTCAGGTGTTATGCAGCCTGATAGGATAGTCAGAGCAGAATGAAAACTCCAAGATTAACCAGTGCTCAGCTGGACACTGATATAAGTCACAAGGCTGTTATATACTGCTGATGAGAAAAGGTATTTAGCAGTTTACATTTACTAAAAAAATTGCATCTCCATGTTGTGTGTACTGTGGGAGACCAGATATAGTGAATGCAGGGTCCTGGGTTTAGTAACTCATTAAAATAATCACATTTTGTTGCTTTGAAGCCTGAAATGAAGACAGACAGGTTTTTTATCCAGCTGTATTTACTAAGTGCAACTTAGAACACGCAGGTGAAATATATAACACCAACATGTCAGAAAAAATAAAAAAATCACAAAAAAAAAAAACTGAGTTGGAAAAAAGGATCACCCCCTCCCAAATATGACCTGTAAACTCAATCAGGTGTAGCTAATCACCTTCTCAATGTAACACAAAGCCATTTGAATTTCAGCTGCGATCAGCTGTGGTCATTTTGATTGGCTCAGCATGAACATAGCTTTCCTGGAACATTTCAGTCCCTGATAGTGCAACTTAAGCAAACAATGAATTGTGGGAGGCAAGGCACGGTCAAAAGATCTCTAGGATAAAGTTCTGAACAGGCACAAGTCAGGAGATGGACACAAAAAGATTTCAAAGGCTTTGCCAATGCCTAGAAGCACAGTGAAGTCTATTATTAAGAAATGGAAGGTATTTGGTACAACACAGACCCTCCCTGGATTAGGACATCGCTCCAAACTGGATGAAAGAACCAGGAGGAAACTGGTCAGAGAGGCCTCCAAACAGTTGCAAGAAATTATGACAAAGAGTGGTCATTGTCTGCAGGTGACAACAATACCACAAATTCTCCACAAATGTGGCTTGTATGGGAGGGTTGCAAGAAAAAAGACACTCCTCAAGAAAGGCCACATGTAGTCACAACTTAGTTTTGCCAAAACACACCATGAAGATTGTGAGGTCACATGTAAAAAGGTGTTATGGCCAGATGAGACTAAAGTTGAATTATTTGGTCTCAACACTAAATAATATGTCTGGTGCAAATCCAATACAGCTCACCATCCTACAGTAAAGCATGGCGGTGGTAATATCCTGTATGGGGGTGTTTCTCTGCAGTAGAGGGACTGGAGCACTTGTCAGGATAGAACGGATGGGGTAAAATAATGTAAAATTCTTGAAGAAAATCTGCTGCCCTCTGCCAGAAAGTTGTCGATGTGAAGAAGATGACTTAAAGACTGCAGTCCACACAAATGGTTACCATCAAATGTAACTGAACCTGAGCAGTTCAGCAAAGAAGAGCGGGCAAACATTGCAAAGTTTAGATGTGCAAAGTTAGTAGAGTCATATCTCAACAGACTAAAGGATGGAATTAAAGCAAAAGGTAGTTCAATAAAATACTAACACAAGGTGGTGATCATTTTTTCAACTCAGCGATTCTGATTTTAATCTTTTTTAATACATTTTCTGACATTTTGGTGTTATATCTTTCACTTGGATGTTATAAGTTGCACTGAGTAAATACAGCGCGATAAAACAAAAACTGTCTGTCTTCATTTCAGGCTGCAAAGTAACAAAATGTGATTATTTTAAATAGGGGTAATTCTTTTCTGTACCCACTGTAACAAGTAATATTCAGCCTTTGTATGGCTTGTCTAGGAGTAAATGGAAATATCCCAAGTTTATTTTCACAGCCTAACCATAACACCATAAAAAGACTCCGAAAACTCTTGTGCCATCTACTGGCAAATCTCTAGCTCTCCCCTATTTGTTTCTGCTTCACATATTAGAGGGGGCATTATGATATCACAGGTGCTTTAGCCTGGCCAATAGGCTGCTTAAACTAATGGAAAAATGAAACATTGGTTGTTTCGCAGGCTAGCTGGTTAGTGTTGCCATGTGCCTTCCATGTGCACCTTACTGCGAAGACTGGTTATAGGCTGGGATGGTTGACATTTTTTGTGTAGTTGGCCAGTTTGGATGCAGGGACGCACTGGATGCCATTGCTGTCATTTTGGTATAGCTTGGCGTCACGTGTGTCCCTGTACCTTTAAGGAGGGATAGACTCCTCCAAGCACACCTGCCCTTAACCTATCCATTTATACATGTGCTCCTACTATGGAGGCTTTGGAAATTTTAGTTAAATCCACAGTATACAGAGGACCCTTGACGTAGGACTGTGGCTTATGCCTGTATTTGCAAATGTGTGCAAACAAAAACTTGTGTTTTTAACGCAAATGGTTAGACATGGCCAAATTGGTTGTTTCGCAGGCTGGCTGGTAAGTGTTGTTGGGAAATCCTTTGTTTGTGATGTGCATTGCCCTTCCATGTGCCCTTACTGCTAAGGCTGGTTATAGGTTGGGACGGTTGCCATTTTTTGTAAAAATGAAACATTTACCTAAACTTCCTAGTCAATGTAAATCAAATACATGGGCCTTACCTTGACACGCTTTTCAATGGG